AGCAGTACAGTGAAGTAAAGTGACGTATGATGGGCAGTAAAGTGACTTTATAAAGGGCGGGGGGACAGGTTAAGAAGTGTTCAAGAGTCCAACAGCAGAGGGGAAGAAACTGTTCTTGTGGCGGGAGGTTCTAGTCCTGATGGACCGCAGCCTCCTGCCTGAGGGGAGTGGTTGGAATAGTCCATGTGCAGGGTGAGAGGGGTCGGCTGTGATACGACCAGCCCGGCCTCGAGCTCGGGCGACGTACAGGTCCTGCAGCGATGGAAGGCTGCGGCCGATCACTTCCTCTGCAGAGCGCACAATGCGCTGTAGTCTCTGTTTGTCCCTGACTGTGGCTCCAGCGAACCACACGGTGATGGAGGAGGTGAGGATGGACTCGATGATGGCCGTGTAGAACTGCACCAACATCTGTGCAGGCAGCTTGGCTTTCCTGAGCTGCCGCAGGAAGTACATCCTCTGCTGGGCCTTCTTGATGAGGGAGCTGATGGTCGGCTCCCACTTGAGGTCCTGGGTGATGGTGGTGCCCAGGAAACGGAAGGACTCCACAGAGGTGATGGGGGAGTCCATCACGGAGGGTGGGGGCGGGGGGACAGTGCTCTTCCTGAAGTCCACAATCATCTCCACTGTCTTCTGGGCGTTCAGCTCCAGGTTGTTACCACTGCACCAGGACACCAGCCGGTCCACCTCCCTCCTGTAGGCGGACTCATCGTTGTTGGAGATGAGTCCAATGAGGGTGGTGTCGTCCGCGAACTTGATCAGCTTCACGGAGTCGTGGCTGGAGGTGCAGTGGTTGGTGTACAGGGAGAAGAGCAGGGGAGAAAGAACACAGCCCTGTGGGGCTCCTGTATTTATAATCCGAGAGTCCGAGACATTCTTCCCCAGACGCACTCGCTGCTTCCTGTCCGTCAGGAAGTCAGTGATCCACCTGCAGGTGGAATCGGGCACGTTGAGCTGGGAGAGCTTGTCCTGGAGCAGGGATGGCAGGATTGTGTTGAAGGCAGAGCTGAAGTCCACGAACAGGACCCTGGCGTAGGTCCCCGGGGAGTCCAGGTGCTGTAGGATGTGGTGGAGGGCCAGGTTAATGGCGTCGTCTACAGATCTGTTGGCTCTGTAGGCGAACTGCAGGGGGTCCAGGAGGGGGGAGGTGAGGGACTTGAGATGGGAGAGAACCAGGCGTTCAAATGACTTCATGACGACAGACGTAAGTGCTACAGGTCTGTAGTCATTGAGTCCTGTGATCCTGGGCTTCTTCGGGACGGGGACAATGATGGAGGATTTGAAGCAGGCCGGGACATGGCAGGACTGCAGAGAGGAGTTGAAAATGTCCGTGAACACAGGAGTAAGCTCACTGGCGCAGTGTCTCAGAGTGGCCGGAGACACGTGGTCCGGGCCAGGAGCTTTGCGGGGGTGCAGCCTCAGGAAGAGTTGTTTAATCTCTTTAGCGGCTATTGTTAGGCTGGGGGCAGGGCTGATGGGTGGGTCGTTAGAGTAGTGGGGGGTGGGGGAGGGAGAGGTGTCAGGGGCAGCATCAAAGCGACTGAAAAATAAGTTCAGATCGTCAGCTAGCTTGTGGTCATCAGCACAGGGGGGGGCTTTGGGTTTGTAGTTGGTGATCTCCCTTAGGCCCCTCCAGACAGAAGCAGTATCGTTGTTACCAAACTGCTCCTGTAGTCGTTCTCTGTGCCGGGACTTGGCTGCTTTCAGTTCTTTCCTGAACTGATATTTAGCTGCTTTGTAGCCGCTGCGGTCCCCCTCCCTGAAAGCAGACTCCTTTGCTTTCCTGAGCTGCCGGAGTTTAGCAGTGAACCAGGGTTTGTCGTTGTTATAGATGACCCTGGTCCTTGTTGGAATGATGCTATCCTCACAGAAGTGGATGTATGACGTCACAGTGTCCGTATATTCATCCAAGCTGTCTGTGGCAGCTCTGAAAAGGTCCCAGTCTGTAGATTCCATGCATGCGCGCAGCTCTTCCACAGCTTCATCAGACCACACTTTGGAGCTCCTCACTGCAGGTTTCGAGAGCTTTAGTCTCTGTCTGTAAGCAGGAACCAGATGTATCATGGAGTGATCTGAGAAGCCGAGGGCTGGCTTGGGAACAGCGCGAAAAGCTCCGCGCACGGTGGTGTAACAGTGATCCAGAGTGTTCTCCTCTCTGGTCGGGCATTTGATAAACTGTCTGTATTTGGGTAATTCCTGGCTCAAGTTTCCCTTATTAAAATCCCCCAGGATAATAATCAGAGAGTCCGGGTATAAGCGTTCCATACACAGTACTTGCTCTGCGAGTGCGCGCTGAGCCTCGCGCGCGTCCGCGCATGGCGGTATGTAAACAGAGGCAAGAATGAATGAAACAATTTCCCGCGGGGAGTAATATGGTTTACAATGAATGAAAAGATATTCTAGAGCAGGAGAGCAGTGCTTGGAGATCACTGTCACATCGTTACACCAGTTTGTATTGACGTAGAAACACAGCCCTCCGCCTCTGCTCTTCCCTGAGAGCGCACAATGGCGATCCGCGCGAAACAGCCCAAAGCCCTGCAGCTCCAGAGCGCAGTCCGGGATCCGCTCATTTAGCCAGGTCTCAGTGAAGCAGAGGACACAGGATGTGGCGAAGTCCTTGTTTCTTCTCATGAGCAGGCTGAGTTCGTCCATCTTATTGCCCAGTGAGCGTACGTTGGAGAGAAAAATGCCGGGGAGAGCCGTGCGCGCTCCTCTCCTCCTAAGACGCACGAGCAGGCCTCCTCGCTTTCCCCTTTTACGGGCCCACACTTTTTTGGCTAGAACATGAACTAAATCAGCCGCAGATGCCAAGAAAACAGGCAATAGGTCCATGGGAACGGTGGGTCGGATGTTCATAAGTTCCTCACGGGTGTAGGAACAGCCAGATGCGCAGTTAAAAAGTAAAAACAAAAGAAAAAGAGAGCAGCAAAGAGCCATGTCGACCGTACGAGGCGCCATCTTGAATGAGCGTTGTAAGCGACATTTAAGCGATTCATACAATGTTACACTCAGTGGAAGTAGTTTCATGTTAGACTGGTTGTGAAACTTAAGAATAGAAATTTCTTTGTGATGAACATAGACGAAAATGTTGCCAATTTATGCACAATTGGAAAAGTACACACACAATATGTATTTATAAATGTCCTCTCCTGTAACCATAACAACAATTTAATCTTTATCTTAATTATGAATCAATGATTTAACTGTATTACATTCATACAAAGGTCTTTTTGGCCGATTAAGGTGGAGGAAGTGTCTGTGGATTGGGACTCATCCATTATAGTGAATAACTTTTCATAATTTTTGGCAGCACATGTTGTCCCACTGTTGCACTTACAAACTCAAACTCATTCATCCTGAACATATAGTGGCAGGGGAAACTGGAGCACCCAGAGGATACCTAGGGAGAACTTGTTTCTGCTCTATGCCATCATTGTGCACTGATTCTTTAGTTACAGTATATAACTTGCACTTTAATCAATCACAGTTTCTCTTGTGTTTGTTTTCATGCTTGGAAGACGAGAACAATTCTTTTCCTTCAGCTGTGAGTGACACAATTTGTAAACAAAACCAAAAAATCACAATTGTGTCGTAATGCGGAAAATATGTACTTGACCAAGATTTTCTTTTGGGTTGAGGTCTGAGACTGGCGGGTCACTGCAGGACATCAAATGCTTCTTACAGGGCCACTCTTTTGTTGTCACAGTGAAGACCCAGCCACTTTTCATCTTCAACGCTGTCACTGATGGAGGGTTTTTGCCCGAAATCTGGTACTTTCCTTAATGCTATATGCTATATGCCTAGTGCTATATCCCTTTACAGAAAAGTACCAAATCATAATGACCTCTATGCTTCACAGTGGGTATTGTATTGGAATAGAAACATGTGGCTTTATTCATCAGGTGACACGCACAGTACTTTAGTTTTTTAAAAGGTAATGTTTTAAATCTCCTGTCCCTTCTCGAGGTCGTCCTCATGGACAGGTTAAGGCTGGGGCGTCAAACTCACTTCGGTCAGGGGCCGAATTAAAAGACTAGGAACTGGTTGGGGCGAAAGAATCAAAGGGATTTTCTTTTCTTATAAATGTATTTTACATTATGAAAGTATTTTAACATATTTATTAAAACAAAATGTTGTTAGATTTAACCAAAACTGGATCAAATATAACCTTAAACATGTTTAACTATTAAACTTCTAATGATGGCTACTTCACCTCTGCTGCTGTGACCTAAAGTGCTGTTTTTTAAAATGTACTATTTATTTGGTTTGTTTGTATGGATGGATGTGTTTCTGCTGCTACTGGACACCATTATAGAATATATCAAATGTGTTTTTTTTCCTGAGAAAATAGTAACACCATAACCATCAAGGCTGCAAGTTATTAATAATTGAACATCAGATCAAGGGCCACAAAAGATTGCCTTGAGGGTCGGATTTGGCCCACGAGCCTGAGTTTGGCATGGCACAAATGTTTACAAATGTTTGATTCCTTTTACTCTAATCATGGTGAGGAAAGGTGTAGAGAAGAAGGTGTTGTACATTACATTAAAAAGCAGAGAGCTTGAATTCACGTTTGCTTCAGTCCCATGTGACCTTTCATCCGTATCAACAAAGCACAAGAAAGATTCTGAAGTGTCCCTTCCCTGAACGCATCAATGCCTGTGTTTATCCACCACAGGATAGTTTCAAAGCAAACCTTGTTTTTCAGCCCTGGTTTGAGCCGGTCCAGATTTAGCTTTGTATCATCGTGTAATCCCTGTGTTTTGTTAGCAACACGGGGAGAAGCATGTGCGCTGGCCTGCCTGTCAAAGCCAATCCCGTCTCTCGCCCGGGTCCAGGTTATGGCCACTGCTCCGCTTGTATCTTTATCTTGAATTGCTTGTGTCAGTTCAGCAAAGTGCGCCGCATAAATATATATATACACAGCACGGTCGCATGTATGAATATGTGAATGTGACGCACGACAGCGGCTACGATTGTCTTTTCTGACCTCACATTTCAATATGGGCTGCGCATGTGGCCCCTCCCCCCTCTGCCTTCCATCAGCGCTGAGAGCAGTGATAGATGGGGCGCTGAAGAAGACGTTAAAGTTTGTGGGCCGTGTTGGAGGAGCACGGAATTGGATAGTAGAGGAGGGGTGTCAGCAGTTTCCCCTATGGCTGCAAGGTATATATCCAGATCGCAATTTGCAAAGATTGAAAGTCTTTTGCCAACAACATAATATCCAGTTCTGTTCTTTAAGGAAGACATCAAACGCAAAGCCATTGTCTCTGAAAACCTCTTACCTTTTCCATTGTTTGCTCATTGAAGATCTGTATCCATGTTAATAAAATGTCTATTGTCAATCTGATTATGTTTTGATGACTCCACAGGCTTCAACATCATATAGTTCTTAAGTCAATGCTAATAACTGTAATGATTGTTTGAAAATAGAACAATTTATACAGGCATTTGTCAAAAAATTAATTGATATATGAATTTATCTTTATTTGGACGAAAAACGATTTTTTTAATATATATATACATAAACAAATTCATTTTTTGTATACACTGCATCAACAAGCATGCTAAATAAATCAAGTCTTATCCCTTCTCAACAGAAGGGATAAATCATGATAATATCAGATAATTAAAAAACAAACTATTGCCTTGAAATTAGTTTTGAGAATATTTTTACTGGACTTTTAGAATCTTATATTTAGTACTACATGTTGAGGCTTGTATCATGAATGCCTCTTGGACATCCTTGGAAAACCGACTGTTTGATTTTCTGCGTTAATTCAATTCAGTTGAACGTATTTTTGTATCGTCCTGAATAACAACAGACTACTGTACTGTACACACCTTTGTCGATTCACCAATAACCAATCAAAGAATAAAACCGTTCAAACACTGGAAATACAATAATAACAAACACATTGGTAATTCCGCTCCCTATGGACCAGTCAATGTTTATAAATGTTAATGTGCTTATGTGTCCTGGATCGTCGCTGTCCTTAGACCAAACCAAATGACACTGCGTGCTTTATCCCAGATGCTGCAAAAATGGTAAAAGCAGGTGAAGCATGTGTAAGGGCCAAAACAAAGAATGCATCATACACTGTAAAAAATTATCAAATATGAGGGAAATATTGCTGTTATCGAGTGTTTTTTTTTTCTTTTTCTTTATACAAGTCCTGAAAACAATATTTGCCAATGGGACAATTTTTTTTCTCTACAGTATTTCAGGAACTTTTGCTTTGTTTTCTCATTTCAAGGGAGACATTTCTTGCGACTTTTTAAAAACAAAATAATGCTGCTTGTTCCATTGGCAAATCTTGTGAAAGACTTGTAAGAAGATTTAAAGCAGTCAGAATGGGTTCAAATTAAGATACATTTTGCCAAATTCGAGCAACTTTTGACTTATATTTCATCACATTTCTTTAGTTCCTGTGTGAACACTAGTTAATTTACATGTTATTGACCCATGACGCAGTTATATTGATATTCTACTGCTACTTTGTGAATCCCAGTGAGACTAAAGTGTTTTGTCTTGATGGTGCAGCAGCAGCATACTCCCACCTCTGCTGTAGTTCCTCTTCAGATAGAGTCTTTAAGTGCGGCTCCGCTCCTCCGTCTCGCTGACCTGATAATATTGTTTCATGAAGCTGCCCCGCCTCTGACCTCCCACTCCTCAGCGGAATTTGTTGGATGAACAGTTCAACTTCTTGCAAAAGGTCGGACCTGTTAAGGTTTCTGCTGCTTTCCTGGACTCTGTTTGATAATGTCAGCTGATTTAATGTCTGAGTAAAAGTCAGTGCCATCATCGTCCATTATCGAGCCTGAGAATGATCTAATGCACCTGCCGTCGTGGTGTCCGTCTGCGTATAACAAAACGGCGCATTTGAAAAAGGTTACTGATTAGTGTTTTACCTATCACACCTTTTGCTTGCAGCTGATTTACACACTGGAGGGACTGTGTCTTTCTGCTGGCCCTGGCGCAACTCAGGACTCCAGCTGTGGATGTGTGGAGAGCATAAATCGTGTATTAGAATCAGAATGATTTGTATTGCCTTTTATTGATACTGTAGACAGATGCCTTGTTGGTCCCTTGTAGAGAAATTCAAGTATCCAGTAGCAGAAACGCATCCATTCATACAAATACATCATTCTAAAAGTTACTAACAAGAGTAGTAACGTGCAACAGGACTTTAGGTCACAGCAGCAGAGGTGGTGCAGGACTGGTTTGGTTGATGTAGGCAGAGTCTACTCGGTTTGGACCATTTTCTCTGCTCAATCAACAAATTATCATTCCTCCAGTGGATTTACTCTTGATCTACTTGTTTCAGACCATGTGCATCCTCTCTGCTCTGGTCTGCGTCAGTGTAAAACAATTGTAAAGCTCAAAATTGTTTCAGAGCTACTTAGAACTTGCTGCCAGCGTAATTTTTTCTTTGGTACATGGTGCAAACAAGTCTGCAAAAAGTAGAAAATGTGCGTTTGTCTCCATGGTATCTGTGGGCTTCGTATTTTTTCACAAGAATCTACAATGAGCGTCCCTGCCCCCTTGACATGGTCTGCTTCTATCAAACTAATTGCTATGATACAACCTGTATTTTTCGGGGTTTGGGACCAGCAGAAGGATTACACCAGCACAAACAGGCAAATATTATGTATCGATAACCACACAAAGGGTTGCCCAGTGTCTGTGTGTGTGTCTCCTCTTGTTAGGCAGCTGAGTTAAATGAGGGAGATTTTGGAAATAATCCCTGTCCAATCTGGAGCCTGCAGCTGTCTGACTTTCACTTTACTCTCTCCATCTGCTTCTGCAAACACACGGGCACCATTGAACTCTGGGACATGATCGGACTGGGAAATCCACACATATTTAAGTCATATTCGCTATAATACTTTTTAATTTGCCGATTTGGAATTCTTTTGAAGGCGTCTTGTTGTTTTCAGGGATTTTAAATGTACATATTGTCAGATTCACCCCCAAACATTTATTTTTTATTTATTTCATTTCATTTCATTTTCAACCCCTTTGTCCATTTCTGGGTCGGGGGGGGGGGGGTCAATGAGAGCTGCCACCCAACGCTCATAGCACCAGTCCCTCGCTGATCCTCTGCAGGGGGTGAGTCCACAGGAAGATGGCTGCTCCGTCAATTGTGAAACAGCCTTGATCTTTCAGCGGGGGGGCTTCAGGCAATGTGGGGTTAAGTGTCTTGCCCAAGGACACAACGACAGCAGTCATCAGTGGGAGCAGTTGGAGTAGGTCCCATGGTGGGAATCAAACTCACGACCTCCAGGCCCAAAGGCCAATGCTCTACCAACTGAGCTACTGTCGCCCCTATTATTATTATTATTTTTTTTTTATTATTATTATTATTTTTTTTATTATTATTATTTTTTATAAATATTTTTTATTTATATATTTAATAATTTATATTTTTTTTTTGTCCATCCATCCATCCATTTCCTTCCCCTTAATCCATTTCTGGGTCAGTAGGGTGGCAGTCAGAGGTGCACCCAGTACACAGAGCAACAGCAGGAAGGAAAGGAGCAGAGTTTGTGGCAGTAAAGTGTGGATTTAAAGAAAACAGAAGGATTTAAGAAGAAAAAAGTTCACGATGACACAAAAGGGACACAAAAATTCCCACAAAATCCGATCTTTATGATCTTTATGAAAGCTGAAGGTTCTCGTCAGCTGAGGTCGAGCTGTTTTAGTTTACATTGAGTTCTTTCTACTTTTTTCTGGGTAGCCCACGTGATTTTAGTTTGCAGTACCACGGGTGCCCCCTGTGCCCATGGGTGGGACAGCTATAAGCAAGTGATACCCTATTCAGTTATTATTATAGATCCATGAAGACACGGCCTTGGTCTTTCAATTCGAGCTTCAGGCAAAGTGGGGTTAAGTGTCTTGCCCAGGGACACAACGACAGCAGACATCAGTGGCAGTTAAGTACTTATTGTGTTTATTTAAAGTGCATTAACAATGGAAAACAGAAAATCTTTGGTAACATATTGTATAGATTTAAAAATAATATATTAGTAAAGAAATGACTAATATATCACCTGGATTCAGGTTTAGAGCTTTACCCTGAGCTTTAACATATGCTTTTCTTTATGGGGCTGATGTTGGATGAATGAGGATTGCCTCTTTTCCCTCTAGCTCTTTACGTAAATACAACAATTTAAAATGAGGTAAAGCATAGGTTGGCAGACTTTTTTTTCCCTTAAAATATGAATCGATTTGACCAACTCAATGTTTTAAGTTGCATTGATTTTCTTTTTTTCCCCACAGCCCAAATTTTGATGGACATTCAAGTTCGATGATATCGGGTCAATATTGTGACTTAACATGTTGGCTATTGGCCAAATCAGCTCTCGGCCCTGGGAGTTACAATTTGACTGAATACTTATCAAATACTACACCCCTCATAAATGAAGATTACCTCAAAGGAGCACTCAGAGGTGATACACAACATGCTCAGAGATTTTGTGTTTGATTCTTGCTTCTTCATTATGTTAAAGATGGAGACTTTATACTAGTTTCCTTATTACGCTAAAGCTGGAGTTTTTATGCTTGCTTCTTTTTTGTGCTAAAGTTAGAGATTGAATTTTTGTGTAGAATTATTGTTCATTTATCATGCTCGTGTGCTCCTCATTCCTACTGCTCTGTAACCGGTAATGCAACACTGAAATTTCCTCACTGTGGAACAAATCTCTTAATCTTAGTCTTTAAATAGTGAATTTGGGGCCGCGGTTTGAGAATCATCTGACTGTATAATTTCCAGATTCATAATTAACTTGATGAGGAGACAAAATGACATATTATACTCAATAAACTTTTATAAAAGCCTGGTTGTATTTGTATTTGGTAGGAGTCTCTCTCATATCGGCCAGTTTTCCGTTTGAATGGTGGTAATACATGCTTTCACTGCCTGTTAGCTCGTCTCCCTGGCTAACTGGATGCCAGATTGGCCTGGGGGAGGATAAAAAACATGCTGACCTTGTCTCAGATTTAGAACGCAGAGGCTTCACTGATATGGCAACGATACTGAGGCTGAACAGAAGCTGCGGCTCCGAGCACATCATTCTGCTCTGGACTGGGCAGAAACATGAGCGTTTACAGAGAGGAATCTCCCAGGAGAACCCCACATATTCATCACATACACGGAATTCCC